GATGATTTAGAATCTTTATATGGACCAATGATTAATGACCATTCCTCCATTATATTAAATGGAAAAGCAGTAGCAAGCATACTAAATTATGAATTTAATGACGCTAAAGAATTTTTAAAAAATCAAATAAATAATGGTGATATTCTATATAATTTAATAACATGCTCATTATATTTATATGAACTTGATGAAGCTAATGAATATTTAACAAAACTCTATGACTCTTATTCTTCACATGATAGTTTAAAAGTTTTGAAAAAAATTGATGATGAAGTGGATAATTTTGTTAGTGAATTCTGAAACAAACAAAATAAAACATAAAACATAAAAAATAAAAAATAAAACATAAAAAATAAAAAATGAACAAATATACAAGCATATATATATATATATATATATATATATTTATTTATTTATATTAGGTTTATATTTTTTATCATATAATAATATATTTCATTCATTCAAATATATTTTATTTGTATATATATATATATATATATATATATATTTTACATGACTTGTTCAGGCTTTTTTATTATTCTTATTCTTCTTATTATTATTTTATTCCATTTTGTCTATTTTTTTTTTTTTTTTTTTTTTTAAACTAACGATATGATGTATACATTTTTTTTTTTCTGTATTTTTATGTCATCTTTTTTTAATTTTTTTCCAACCACAAAATTATGTATTGCTTCATTGCAGTTTGTTATAGGAATCCTTTTTCCATTATTAAATTGACTTTTCTAAACAAATAAAAAATATCATTTTAAAACATAAAAGCATTGAAAAATAAAGAAAACCAAAAAAACATACACACACACACACATATATATATATATATATATATATATATATATATATATATATATATATATGTGTATATATTACCTTATATTTATAAAAAATAAAAGCACTTAGAACCAATAAATTTTGAGGGATGTAATATGTACATGCTGATTTGAAACATTGTACAAGTAAGGAATTTTTATTAAAACTATAAAAAGGTAATTTAATCATTTTATAAAATAAAAATTCTTGAATGTATTATATTATGATGCAATATAACAAAAATATTTAAGTCATAATAAGAAGGGGAAAAAAAAAGAAAGAAGAAAAAAAGAAATAAAGAAAAAAAGAAAAAAAGAAATAAAGAATAAAAAAAGAATAAAAAAAGAATAAAAAAAGAAATAAAGAAGATAATTCTTCAATATATTTAATTATTATTATATATATATCATTACGTCATCAAATATATTTGTTCTATTTCTATATAATAATGATATAAAAAAAATATATATTTCCGAACTTTTTACTTTTTATTTTTTACTTTTTATATATTTTTTAATTGCTTATTTTCTTAATTTAATCCTCAGAATAATATAATGTATCAAAAAAAAAAAAAAAAAAATTATTATCACATGAATAAAAAAAAAAAAAAAAAATATAAATTTTATTTAATGTATACATTAATATAAAATATACAACAAAATTAAATACAAACACATAATATGAATATAGTATTATCAATATAAACAAACAAACGAAATAAAGGTATAATAAAATTATTATAAGAGATAAAAGAAAAAAAAAAAAAAAAATCAATTATATAAGAAGAAAAAAATAAAACCCATAAAATGCCATATAAAATAATTCTTAATAAAATATGTTAAAATATGTTTTTTTCTAAATCTCATTTATATGTCTATTTATACTAAAAATTAAATATATAAGTATATCACAAAAAAAAAAAAAAAAAAAAAAATAGATAGATAGATAGATAATGTAATATAATACAAATAAACAAATCAAATATACAATAATAAAAAAAAATATATATATATATATATTTAAAATAATAATAATCCTTTGTAAAAGCTCATTATATAATAAATTTTATAAAATAAGAAAAATATAAAATATATGCCAAATAATTTAATAAGTATATAATTTCAATGGTTGTATTGTTATAATTAAATTACTCTCGAGATCAAAAAAAGGAAAATTGAAATATGGATACAAATATTATAAATCATGAAATAATATTTATTAAATGTAATAATATTTTCATTTTTTTATAATATAATAATACATAACAAGACTGTATAATATTATATTATTATATTAAAAAAATTAAGTTCAAAAAGGAAAAAATTAAAAGCTATTATAAAGAGTACAAAAAATAACAAATATGAGAATCTTATATGAATACGTGTATAAAAAGTTTATATTAGTTTTTCTTCAAAAGAAAAAAAAACAAAATAAAGAAAAAAATTTATTTAATAAATGATTATATAATAATAATAATAATAATAATTCACATGTCATTTTATATATCTTATGTATTTGTTATAGGAAAGTATTCATTCTCCATAAGAGAATAATTAACAAGTCGTACTATGTAATTTTTTTTTTGAGGATTTATGTGATTATCATCATCATCATCATCAAAATCATCATATATATTATTTTTATATCATTTATGTATTTTATTTTATTTTATATTTCATCTAAGATATGCACTGAATAATAAAGGTTTGGTACATTATTAATTGAGCAATTAGGTTCATCCATAGAATTTTCCATATATATATTAGTTGATAAAATATTGTTCTTCTTATTATTCTTCATTTCAGATATATATATTCGCAAGATTATTATTTCTAGATGATATGTGATAAAAAATTATTTTATTATTATTATTATTATTATATTAATTATTTTTTTGTATTATTTAAAATATATTTTTCATGAATTAAATACATTTTATGGTTATTTTCATCATAAAAATCCTTTGACATATGTATGTTGTTTTCTGTATTCAATTGTTCATTCATTTTCTTCAACATTTTTGTTCATTATGACTCCATTTTTCGCACATATTTCTATGCTTATCTAGCCAGTGATGGAACAAATTTAGTTGGTTTATTATCTGGTCACTATTTGTTTGTCATTGTACACTTCGTATGATTTGTCTGAAACAATTCGTTTTCTTTTCATTTTAGAATCTCATTATAAATATTAACACGTTGATCACCACTTAACGAATCATTGATTAAATCAATTCCGGTATATAAAATGTTGTCCTTAGGAGTATATATAATGTTAGAAGACATATGTGTATTTATAGAAATATTCCTGTGAATATGATAAGTAACATATTTACGACTGATATCAAGAAATATATCATGAATAGATGTCATAAAAGGTTTTTCATAAACATAATTACTATAGGAAGGAAAGTATTAAGTTGGATATCCTTAAACATATTATCATCAATGATATTTTCATTAGGTAATTGATGATTATTATCACTTGATAAGTGTTTTAAATATTGTACAATAAAATCATTTTTTAAACTATTCCATTCTTCATATGTAAATTTATTGGTAGATGTGTCACCCCTTGGTATATTAACTGTATCCCTTTTCGTTGATTCAAGTATCACTTTAATTAATGATTTATATTTCGGACTATCACTATATGGATATACATCATTAATATCTAGTTCTTCCTATTCGATTTCAGAAGAAGTAATATTAGATGACGATATATATCCAATATATGTGTAGCCATCCAATTCATCCCTCTCCATATAAATATATGTTCTTCTTTTATACCGATAACTTCCATACGACACATACTTATTGGTGGATCTTTTATCAGGTATTTTATAATCGTTTTGCGATATATCATTAACACGAAATAAATTGGTACGGGTAGATGTAATTTTGTGTTTTTTCTACATATATATAAAAAAAATACATACATATGAAGGTATGTGTATTGGTGTATATCTGTGTATATATGTAGGGGTATGTATGTATGTATGTATATTGATACATATATATATATATATATATATATTATATATATTTATATATATGTGGATTCATTATATTAATACGTTCTGCATATAATCTTTCGACTATTTCGATAAATACAACAAAATTATAATTTTGATTTTCATAATATATTCTTATGTAAAAATTTATTTTAAAAATTTTGATATATTATTATTTTAATACATTATGTATTTGTTCATTTTATTTTTATCTTTTTTTATAAATTAAATTTTAATTCACTGTTTGTATTTGCATATACGTTGTTGTATAAAATTATATACATAAAAGTATATAGATATATGTATATCTACAACTTGTTGTAGTTGTAGATATATTTACATCAACATGAATTGGTATCTATATATACATAGATTTAGATGTGAGAAACAAATTATGTTATTAGATGGTTGTTTAATATTATATATTTTATATTAAAATCATAATATATATTAAGTATATATATTTGTTTGGTTTCATTAATAAAATCGGAACTACAAATTTATATATATATATATATATATATATATATATATATTTAACATTTATTATATATATACCATTTATTTCATAAAATAGATATTTTATACTATATATATTATATACATATATAAAATACAGGAAATTAATTATATTAACTTCTGTACAAGAAAATATATATATATATATATATATATATATTCTTAAAGAGGAAGATTTATATTTCGAAATATCTCTATTTTATCTTTCGTCTATATTATTTTTTCAATATATATATATATATATTATGTAGGAATATAAAGGTTCATACCTTTTACGATTAAAACATTATTATTGATAAATTTTTATGTTTTGCATACATAAATAATTTATAATTATAAAAAAAAAAAAATAAATTTATTCTTTTACATTTTGTTAAAATAATACATAATGAAACATATTAACATAACAATTTTAAATACTTAAATTAAAATTTTATATAAATGTGACAATTTTTTTATTAAGGTACATGGTTTATTTTCTTTGCATAACATATATGTTTTAAAAAAATAATATTATTATTTATGCTTTTTTCATATATTCATTAAATTATAATATATATATATATTATATATTATTTAATATATATTTCAATAAAATTAAAAATAACAAAAAAATTAATAAAAGTTTTAAAAAAAAAATGTGCGCCACCCCCCTCCGAGTAACTCAGTAAGCTCGATCTGCAACTTTTCTTATGAAATTGTCGGCACGCGGAGTCGAACCAACGTTCTCACAAGGAAACCTACATACCTAACGACTGGGCTACTGGGGCAGCTTAATGATAGTACTTGCATAAAAGTATTATTAAAAAATGAAATGTATGCAAATAATATATAAATAAAAAAAAAAAAAAAAAAAAAAAATATATATATATATATATATACTAAATGTATATTTTTATACTATTCATTTATATATTTAAATATCTTCATACTTTTTATGTTCTTTTTAAATATATATATATATAATATATTATGTTATATTATCGTGTTTATTACAAATTGTTTGATAACATATTTTCATTAAATTTTTATTTGATGTATATATTATATGAAAGGACTATAAAATATATATATGTATTAAGTTTATATATATTTACCGTTTGTATCAATAAATATATATATATATATATATGTATATGTAAGTATCCTTTTTTTATTATTTTAAATGTAATAATATATAGATTGAAGAATAAGAATTGTTATTATATAGATCTTCATAATAATAATATAATTCAGATATTATAGATTCACATATTCATATATCACTTCTTACCATATAAAAATTAAAGTTCATAAGAAAGATATACATTATGAGAATTGTATAGACATTAAATTATTTAAAATAAATAAATCAAAAATAAACATATAAATATATATATATATATTTATTTATTTATTTATTTTTTATCATTATTTTACTCAATATATATATCATGTAAAGTATGGATTGAAATATTCTCTTCTAACTGTCATAAAAAATATATATGCATTAAATGACATTGGATTAATATATATATCTTAGTAAAATTTCAACCATTTTTATAATATTGCTTTCAAGTTTTTATACAATATTATTTTATTTTTTTTTTTTTTGATGTTGTACATATATATTATATAATACATTATATGTTTTATATTATGTTATATGACGGAAAAAAATAAATTTATAATTTATTACTTTTAATATAATATAATACAAAAAAAAAAAATTATTAATATTAAATATATATTCATGAAGGTAGATATATGATAGATAATAAAGATAGAGAGGAAGGAAACAGTTTCTTTTATTCTCCAATGTATGAAAAAAAGAAAAAATAAATTTCAAAATAAAATAAATAAATGTTTATAAATTGATAAAAAAATTACTTATATATATACATAATTTGTATGATTCTATTTGTTATATTTTTATTTATTTTTTCTTAACATTTATTTGTTTTGGTTTTATAATATATATATATATATATATTTATATGTTTGCATATTACTATTAATATAATCAAATTATATAGTATATAATAAACAACAATTATATATTATAGGAATTTAATTAAAAATTATATATAAGTTAAAAAAATATTATTATAGTATATTATAAGGTTATCATATCATAGATAAATATATTAATAGTTATATAATCATATTATTATATATTATTAATATTATAAGATTATCATATATATATATATATATATATATATATATTTCGTACATTACCACTATATGTTGATCGTCATAACTATAATATAGTACGACTAAGAACCAAAAAAACATCACAACAAACATAATGACTATCATCACAAAATATCACTACGCGGTAAAGATAGAGACGGCATCGTATACACGAATATATAGTAACAGTAGTATGAACAAATAAAATATAACAAAGTAATCATGGTAATATATATTTTGTTCATTTCGTTGTTGTCATTTGCTTACCGCGCACTATTTATGTGATTATATGATATGATGGTAGACTATGCTAACAATGTATGAGTAATCGAAGTAGATTAAAAATATATGCATAAAACAGTATATATATATATATATATATATATATATTTATGGCATAATGTAGTCTAAAAAAAAAAAAAAAAAATGGCACCTAGTGTCGGTGTTGACAGTTATGCCACGGATAAAAGTGCCAAAAATGCATTAGATAAAATTGGAGGAGAAGTGCAAAAAAAAAAAAAAAAAAAAAAAAAAATCCACAAAGATGCTCTTGAACGTAACAGCAAATTTGCATGGATTTTTTATCAAAAGTATATTTTAAAGATAGGAAAAACCAAGAAAGAGATATGAGTAAGCTTAGTCATGAAATATATATGTATACATATATATATTTTTTGGAAAAAAAAATAATAATAAAATTTTTTTTATTCTTCGAATGATTTTATTTTATTTTATTTTATATTTTTTATGTTTTTGATAAAATGTTTTTTTGTTCATTATATTATATTATAATATATTAACTACAAAAATTTATTTACACTATATTTCTAAAGGTTCACTACTTATTAAAATCATATATAAATATAATACTATATACTATCAATATGTTGTGTTATGTTTAGCTTTAACTTTATTATAATTGATATTTTAAGCTACACATATTTATATGATATCATAATAATAGTTTTATTATTTGAATATTATAGAATAGAAATATTAATATAATTAATCCAAAATATAAGAATTCATTTGAATTCTTACATTATTTAATTATATTTAGCTACTATATGAGATTATTTTAATTATATTATTTGTATCATCACAATTAGAAATATATAAATAAATATATAAATATATAAATATATATATATATATTTCTATATATTTAATTTGATTTTTTTCATTTCATATTTTATGATCATTAATATTCAAAACAATGATTATCTAGTTGTTATAAATAAAATATATAGCCAATATCTTTCAGTTATCAGATTAAAAAAAAAAAAAAAAAAAAAAAAAAAAAAAAAAAAATTAATTAAATATAGTGATATATATATATATATATATATATATATATATATATATATATATATAAGATATAATGGATAATTAAGAAAAATTAAAAATTAAACTATTACAATAAAAAACCCACAAAAAAAAAAAAATAATATTAATAATAAATGACATATGATATATTAAATATTAGACATGTAATATATATATATATATATAATGAGGAATCTTTTTTAAAAAATGAGCATTCCACTATATAAAATATATTGAGTATGTATTATTTTGATGCCATAGTAATATAGCTTATATATATTATTCCTGTTTATGATTAAAAAAAATATGCATACAAATAAGATGAGAAGGCTATTTTATTAATGTAATAAAAGTTTTCATATGTATGCACATAATCAAAATTTAATTTGTTATACAAATTAATAGCTGCTTTGTTATAGTCTATAACATGTAAATATATATACAACGGAAGAATATAATTTTCTTCATTAATATTTATAAATGGTTTGACAGTATTCATTTTTTGTAAATTAAAGGATGTTTTATTTTTTATATTATATGCACAAAAGTTATTAACAAAAAAGTTTAATATTTTGTTATTTATACGAAATGGACACATAACATTTTTAGGTTGGATCAGATTAGCTATTAGGTATGATGAATTATCTTTATTATTATTATTATTATTATTGTTATTACGATTACTTTTTTTTTTATTATTATTACTATTACATATTTTATTATTATTATTATTATTATCAATTTCCATATTATTTATATTTTTTATATTTTTTACTTTTTTTATGAGTTCATTGTGTTTATTACGAATATTATGATATATATGATGAAAATAATCATTTGATATAATATTCATATAACATTCTTTTATAACAATATTACAAATACTATAATTATTTTTTCCTTTTGGATTTTTAGGAATATATCTTAACAAAATATTATTGTTCATACTAGAAGATTTACATTTAATATCAAAATTATTATTATCATTATTTTCTATATTATTTGTATTTTTAAAATTGCCCCATACATTCAATGAACTGTTGGTGTATTTTAATGTATAAATTTTTTTTCTTTTTTTCTTTTTTTTTTTTGTTACATTTATTTCTTCGTTCATATTATTATTATATGTAATGTGTTCATCATCAATACAAGATATTTTATTATTATATATATTGTCATTAATTTTGATAGGATTTATTTTTTCACATTCATCATATATATGTAAACAATTCGCTTCTTTATCTTTTTTTTCTTCATTATTTTCTATGCCTTTTGAAGAATAATCACTTATAACCCCTTCATCGAATATTTCATTATATTCATCCTTCAAATTACTAGACAAACTATAGAAGGTATAATTGTCAATATAGCAATAAAAATTGGTATTATATAAAAACATTTTATATATAATAAAATAAAAAAAATAAATTGTGTATTCAATAAGGTAAGATGCTAAACTTAGTCCTCGGAAATATTCATTTACTCCAACTGTTAAAATATATATACTACTAATTTTTTTTTTTACATATTTCTTTGACATTGCTTTTATATTTTTATTCATATAAATTTCTTCATATAAAATTTTTTCAAAACGAGCATCTTTTTTTACACATTTTTTTTTTTTTAATATTGATAAATCTTTTAATATATTATTACAAAATAAATTATCTTTTTTCCTCCATTTAATATCTCCAGAATAATTAAAATTATCTTTTGTATTATTTAAATATGTGTAAGATTCTTCTATACATTGATTCACATGATTTTCTTCATTTATCAATTTATCTTGTTCTTTATTCTTTTTATATAACACATCTTTTTTTACTCCACAACTATAATTATAATTATAATTATAAGATTTCTTACAATTATTATTGTTATTACTATTATTACTATTATTATTATTATTATTATTATTATCATCATCGTTATTGTTGTTGTCTTCACTATTTTCATAATAATAATTGGATTTATTATCCTTAAAATTTTCTTCATATATGTGATCATCATTTTTCGAGTTAAAACATCTTTCCATAGGCATATAATTTTCTAGAAAATTCTTCGATGTATCATACATATACCTTAAATAACTCTTTCCCTTTTTGTTATTATTAGACTTTTTTTTAAAAAAATCACAAATATTATTATAATCCTTTTCATTATTAATATCATCATAATTAATTAAAGAGGATAAGCATCCTATCAAATAATCTCTTTTCACTTTTCTTTCATTTGGATTGTATAAATTTAATATTTCCTTACTTAAATGTATTTTATATTTCACATGATTTTTAATATGTTCTTCTAAGCTATTCCTTTCGTTATAAAGTTGACACTTTTCTTTAAGTTCTTTGTATATATTATAAATATTTTCATTATCATAATTTATATTGCTAATATTATTGTACATAAAGTCATTATTATTGTTATTATTGTTATTATTGTTATTATTGTTATTATTGTTATTATTGTTATTATTGTTATTATTATTGTCATTATTATTATTATTATTGTCATTATTATTATTATTATTATTGTCATTATTGTTATTTTTAATTTGTATATTACATGGTAATGTACCTATATTTCCATTAACATTACTGGGATTAATCATATTATAAGTCATATTTTTCAAATTATTATTATTACATTTATTAAAACTTGTATGGTCCTCTTTTTTGTCATTAAAATTAAAAATATCATAATGTTTATAATGATTATTAATATGATTCGTAGGAGAAGAATTAGTATTACAATCATAAAAAATTTTATTACGATTCACCTGTATATCTTCTTTTTTAAAAGCTTCCTCATCGTCTAAACTATCAAATCCATTTTGTGTTTCCTTATCATTCATATTATTACTACATTCATTTGATGATAAAATAAAATCTGACATTTCTTTAGCATCTACCTCATTTGTCAACATTTTTGGATTTTTTAAATTATCATAATTAATATTTTCTTTATAGAATTTATCTCCTATTTCATAGTTACTATATGTTTTAAATGATTCATACGTGCAATTTGAAGTGCTTTTTTGACTGTTATTTGTAGAATTTGAATGTGACTTCACATTATTAATATGAGTATCATGACAATAAGAATTACTATTATCATAATTATAATAATTACCACATGTATTATATTTATCAAACGTATCATTTTTATCAAACGTATCATTTTTATCAAACATATCATTTTTATCAATTGTATCATATTTATCAATTGTATCAAATTTATCAATTGTATCAAATTTATCAAATGTATCATTTTTATCAAATGTATCATTTTTATCAATTGTATCAAATTTATCATACGTATCAAATTTATCACATTTATCAATAGTTTCATATTTATCATTTGTATTATTTTTTTCATATTTAGCATTACAATCATCCAAAAATCTTATATAGTCTAGTAAAATATCTTTTTCTCCCAACTTTTCTATACATTTTCTCTTCAACAGTTTATTTATATAATCACTATTAATATAATCGATAAAGGAAAATGGTAAAAATACACCCACTGAAAATATTTGATCTTCTTTCCATTTTTTATTAATTTTTTTCTTTTCTATTCCAGTTGTATCTATTGAATTATTAAATTTATATAAAATATCATTTTGAGTTTCTTCTAAATATTCATCATGTCCATAATAATTGTCCATATAATTCATTTCATCATATGAATTTATATAATTATAATTATTGCATTCATAATTATTTACAAAATTAATATCTTTAAAATTATTACTGTTTGTATTATGACTCTCTTCTTTTAATGAGGAAACAATCTCACTGTAGTTATTATTATAATTATTATTACAACTATTATTATTATTATTATTGTTGTTGTTGTTGTGGTTGTTATTATTATTGTTATTATTATTGTTATTATTATTGTTATTATTATTGTTATTATTATTATTATTGTTATTATTATTATTATTGTTATTATTATTGTTATTATTATTATTATTATTATTATTATTGTTATTATTATTGTTATTATTATTACTATTGTATCTTTTTCTGTTTGTACTTTTTTTAAAGGAACTAGTTATTTTATCCATAATTTTTATAATGTCATCATCAATTATTGTATTATCATCAAAATTACATATACTGAAGTAAAAATCCGAATGATATTTTACGGGAAATAATTCTTTATGTAAATCATGAACATCTTCAATATCTTCTTCTTTTAAAAAACGAAAATAAATCAGATTTAATATATTCAATTTTTTTAATATTTTGTATAATAATATTTCCTTGTCGTCATACAAATCCATAAATAATCTTGAACTTAATATTTGTTCATGTACATCATTACATAAGGCTGAAGATGTTGAAAGAAATTTGTTTTTGTTATTTTTTTTAAATAACCCTAATACATTGTTTACAACTTTATCATATTTTGATTCAAGAAAGCTAGTCTTCTTATTCGTATTTTTATTTTTCTTATAATAATAATAATTATTATTATTCATATTTTCTCATTATACTACTTCGAAGATACCTTTTTTTTTTTTTTTTTTTTTTTTTATTACTATTATTATGATTGTTATAATTATTATTATATTAAGTTATACTTTATTATATATTATTAATATGTATGTATCAACATTGTAATTACAAATATGATATTAATAAAATATGTCAATTCATTTATGTTATATAAATGAAATTAATAATTTTATAAACATATATATTATATTATTTTATATAATATATACACTTATTTTTTTTAGGATTACCCCTTTAAATGTAATAATATCAATGATGGTTTATAATATGTTTATATATACATATATATTATTATATATATATATTATTATATATATATATTATTATATATATTTATTATAATTTTAATTATAAAATTTATTACACATTTCATATACAAATTGTACATACAATTTTATGTTTTTATAAACATTTTATATCTTTTGATATATAATTTTTTCTTTTTTTTTTTATGATATATACACAAAATTATAAATAATTATTATTATATAAGATCTTTCAAAATGAAGCATTTAAAAAAATATATTATCTTTTGTAAGTTGTATAAATAAACAACATATTCTGCTCAAACATGTAATACAAAAAAAAAAAAAAAAAAAAAAAAAAAAAAAGAATGATTGTGGATTTATTATATATATTTATTTTATAAATTTTTGAAAATAAAACTGGGAACGTTATTATATATCAATTCATAAATAAACAAAAAATAAAAAAATAAAAATAAATAAATTTATATGTAAAATAAAACAAGGTTCATTTGAGGAATGTTATAAAAGAATATTTTTTTTTAAATTTATGAAAATAAATAAAAATATATAAATAATTAAATATATATATATATATATATATATATATATATATATTAAAAATCGAAATTTTAATAAATATAATAAAATTATATTATATATATATACATAATATTTATATAATTATGTATAACAAAATGATAAATAAATAAATATATATATATATATATATATATATTTAACTGTTCTTAAATTATGTTTTTTATTATTTATTTATTTTTTTTTTTTTCGTCGAAAATAATACATAAAATTAATTCTATTTACAATATTATAAAAAAAACTGAAAAAAAAAAAAAAAAACAATTTTCATTTCCGCATATATATTTATACATAAATAAAATATTCTTTTTTTTTTTTTTTTTTTATGTTGTTATAATGTATAATGTATGTATATATATATATATATATATATATATATATTTTTTTTTTTTTTAATAAGATATATATATATATATATAGAATATATAAAATTTTATATGTTAAAGAATTGGTTTTATTATTATTTTTTTTTTTTTTTAATTAAAAATAAATAATAAAATAAATAAATAATTATAAATATATGTATATATATATATATATATATATATATATATATTTCATTTTTATGTTGAAAATAAATCCAATAAAATAAATAAAAGAATTAATTTATATATTAATTTCAGGAAATAATAATGTAATAAGAATTTGATTTTTTTTTTTTGAGCACATTTTATAATAATTATTTATAATTAAATAATATATATTTTACATATATATATATATATAATAAAATTCTTACAAGAACAATTTAAATAGTATCATATATATATATATATATATATTATATGCACAATTATTTATGGGAACAGTTTTTAATAACATTGTTATGTATGTAAAATGTAATATTTTATATTACCTTGCTTAACTATCCCCATATTAATCAATCTTATGTGATGTATATTTAATCAACATGTCTATATATATATATATATATATATATATATATATATATATATATATTATCTATGTATGTATTTTATTTTCTTACTCGTTTTTACTTTTCATTTTAATTATTCAATGTATTTTGAATAACATAAGAATATTAAATATAATAATAATGTTATATTTCAAAAGGCAAATATACAAATGTGTAATGATATAATCGAAATAAATTATATAATACATATGTATAATAGATATTATATCCATTCTTTTTATTTATTTATTTATTGTATTATTTTTTTTTAATATGTACCTTAAATTATATTGTTACCAAAAAAAAAAAAAAAAAAAAAAAATTAAGCTTATGCAAATTACATACTATATTCTATTTTTTTAATTTTGCAAATTTGTGTAACTATTAATTTTTATGCTATAATGCACATTAAAAATGTACAAATACAAAAAAATAATCTTTCTCATATTACATATAAATATTATATAAGTATTGTGTTTTTATAGTTATGTTAGAAAAAGTTTTTCTAAAACGAAAAAAAAAAAAAAAAATATATCAAATGGAAAGAAAAAAAAAGAAATATCATAAAAAATGAATGAAAAAAACATTTTGATGTTTAAAAATAGAATATTTATAATATATTATACAACATTTCAGTTATTCCTATTTATTATTTTGTTTGTTTTTTTTTTTTGTAAATTAAAATGTTATATATGTTTATCATTTATCCTTTTTTTTCACATTCTTAAAAAAATATATTCAATTTGTTCTATATTATTAAACTGTTTGACTATATATATATATATATATATATATATATATATATATAGTAAAATATTTTATTTTTTTAGGAGAAATTATACAATATTCTTTTATTCTTTCTTTCTTTTTTTTTTCTTTTTTTCTTTCTTTCTTTCTTTCTTCCTTCCTCATTTCCATTTAAAAGATATTGCTTAATTTCTATCTTATTTCATTGTATTATTTTTCTTGGGCAGTCCTTTTCATATATGCATTGGCATCTGTTACGTTTTTATTTATATGGTAATCTGAATTATTAAATTTTATAATTCCATACATATTTATAGCACATGGGAAGAAAAAGAAAGAAAATGCTGTATATGGTTTGTATAAATTCCTAAGGTCCTTAAAAAAACTAAATAAGGTGTGACATAAAACTGACATATTTTACCCCTCTAAATTGTTAAATATAAATATAAATATAAATATAAATATATATATATATATATATATATATATATATATATATATATGTATTTTATTTATTTATTTATTTATTTTTTCGTGTTAATAAATATCTTATTTAAACATTTTCTTGATGAACAAAATATTTAACAATTTTGTTATTATATTCATTTGTAATGTTTTCACATATACAAATTTTATGAAAAGTTAATGTGTATTATTTTTATCACTTATATATATTATATATAAATAAAATATAAAATATATATTATAAAATAAAAACATTATGGCAGTCACACAATATCAAAAAAATAAAATAAAATAATAATAATAATAATATATATATATATATATATATATATATATATATATATATAAATATTTTATTTATATGTGAATGACAGTGCATTTCAAAAGTATAAAAAAAAAAAAAAAAAAAAAAAATTAAAAAAATATAAATATAATATATATACATATATATATATATATGTTTATTCATTTAATATACTTTTTATAAAAATTTGTTGTTTTCATTTAATTACCCATTTAGGGTCATATATTTTACTCGCTCATGTGCATTTGTTTTATTTAAAAAAAAAAACGACTAATTTATTATGAGTTCATTTTTGAAATGCGTATTAAAAATAAATTTCCCCTCATAAGTTTGGAATGTTTACAGGTGAATTTAATAATTCCTTTTTATAAAAAAAAAACGAAAAGTATAGATAATCATTGTTTTCTATTTAGAAGATTTAATTCATTTGATAAAATATATTCACTGGACAAAAATTGTACTAATTTATCATTTCAATATAAAAATAATATTAATCATATTGATGATAAAAATGAATTGAACCATAATTTTATAGACAACAAAACAAACTTTTTTAATAAGCAAACAAGTGAAAACAAGAACAAAGGATTACAAAATAAAAATGATAATACATACAAGGATTTTCATTCTGGAAGTGAAAATGACGATGGAAAGTTTAGTAATAATTTTTTTTTTTGTGATCACACACATGAATATAAGAACAATGAAATTAATGATGCTTCCACTAATAACACTTATGAATATAAGAACAATGAAATTAATGATGCTTCCACTAATAACACTTATGAATATAAAAAGAATGAAATTAATGATGCTTCTATTGATAACACTTATGAATATAAAAACAATGAAATTAATGATGCTTCCACTAATAACACTTATGAATATAAAAACTATGAAACTAATGATGCTTCTATTGATAACACTTATGAATATACAAGTAATGAATACAATGAAGATGTAGATGACGATTTGGATACCTTATTATTAACAAACAACTTAAACTCAAGTTTAATAGGAGAACTTTGGCATGCATCAGCAAATAGTATTTATAAAAATAAAAAAAAGTTAGATGTTCATGATGAAAACAAAAATAAAAAACAAATAAATGATATTGCTGAAACATCTACAAATATAATTAAACAAATAAATAATAGTGTACACACAAACATGAATTTACCACAAAAACTTGATAATCAAAAGTGTCAGGGAAATTTTTCAAATTTATTTGTTAATGAAATATATGAAAAAGAAGAAAAAGAAACTCAAAAAATGAAAGAATATTTAGAACACCATGAAGAACATTTTTCAATGTTTAGAAATTCAATTTTATGTAAATTAAGAATAGCTGAAGAATTATCTCGAAATGCTAATCACTCAAGTAAAGAAAATATAAATAAATACAATAAAAACAAAGAAGAACATTATAAAAACTTAATAGATTCTATAAATAATACAAATCATCCAAGAATTGACTTAAATAATAATCATTATAATAATAAAAAAAAAAAAAAAAAAAATTATTATTATTATCCAGTGAATAATAATATTAATTATGATCATGTGGAAACCATCAAAATTTTAGATATTGATAATATTCCATGTAATATATTAAATAATTTATTTGCATATAATATTGTAAAAAATTGTAGTGCAGAATTATGTTTGAAAATAATAAGTAGATTAGGTATGTATAGAGATAAATATTCTCAAATATCTTATGAAAATATGATTAATTATTTAGGTCAAGTATTAAATTGTTCAAAAAATGCAGAAATTATTGCACTTTTTTCTAGATGTTATGAAACTATAAGTATTCCGTTCTTAGTTAATTATGTTAGAAAATATGGTACATTCTCAAGAGCTTTTATAGTTAATATGTATGATAAATATTTTAAAAAGAGATTATTTGATTTTGTAAGATATGAAAATAATAATGGAATTCGGAAATTACCAAATATATTAACTCATCCTTATCATTTATCATCATATACCAAATTATTAGGGGAATGCTCCGCTAAAAAAGATATGTATGTACAGCTAAAAATATTAGGCCATATTCCAGATACTTTTCAAATAACAGAAGAAAATAAAAGTGAAGAGGAAATTAATTATTTAATGAATGCCAAAAAGGATTCTAACAAAAAAAAAATTCATAATATCAATAATATAGATCTAATAGATAATGCAACGGAAAAAAAGAAAAAAAAAAAATCCAGTAAATTTATCGAAAGACCGAAAATTTATGACCTTATTTTATCATCAGAATATACAGGTCTACCTATTGAACATTTTATAGATCACCAAAAAAAAATAGAAGATAACAAACATACTAATAATGTAATTAAAACCTTATCAAATAATGAGATCATAATTGAGCATGATATATTACATAATGATTTTATATTAAATGATGAATTAGATAAGGAAAATAAAAAACAAAAAATTATAATAAATGATAAACAAAATGATGATATATTAAATGTTAATAATAATAATAAAAAATGTATACAAAGTACATATAACATGAACAAGTTAAATATTCAAGAGAATCACCAAAATGAAGAGAATGTTCATTTTAATAATAATGAAAATACAAATTTTATTCTTGATGATGATTGTGATATATATGTATATAAACGATTTAACAAATTAAACAATTCATCATTTAAAATGCAAACTACTTTGGTAAAAACAGAAACAAATGATGAAAAAAAACAAAATAATGAAATAGATCTCTTTATTGAAAAAGGGAAATATTTTGAAGAAATAGATATAGATCAAAATAATAAATCCTTATGGAAATTACCTTGGAATAATATAAAAAAAGATTCCTTTTATTTTAAAGGTAGATTTTTTAAAATAGTACCTAATGAAGGATGGTCAGAAATTAAGGAATTATCCAAAAATTATATTAAACCAAAAAGAAGAAGAACACAACATTATATTAAAAGACAAAGAATTTTACAAAAAAAAATTAAAGTTAATTTGTTTAAAAAAAAAATTTTAGAAAATTATAATAAAATGAAAAAACAAAAAAATGAAATAAAATGAAATATAAATAATTAAATGATTATTTGTATATACATATATATATATATATATATAACATATATATATATCAAATTGTATGTTAATAAATTAGTTTGTTACAAAATTTTAATAAATACATTTAATATATATATACAAATGTAACTATATTTTTGATAATTTATTTGCAATCTGATAATTAAAATTTTTTTTTTCAAAAGGTAAGGTTATATCCTTCATTTCATTTTTATATTCTAATTTAAAGTGTATGGATAATAATTAAAACCTAATAATTTTTTTTATCATTAAATTAAATATATTATATTAATTTAATATTACTTATATATATATATATATATATATATATATATGTAATTGTCATAACAAAATTCTTTTGTTTCTCCAAAGTTTACATTTTATGTTTTTCTTTTATTGTATCTTCACTTGGAAATAAAGCTGTGGCAGGAGATGTACATGATGTTAATGATAACATTCTTTCCACATATGAATCTCCATAGTCATCTCTAAAAGTCCTAAAACTCAAAGGTTCTAATGGTGTTTTTCTTAAATGGCTTTCCCATCCTTTTATTAAATTCCCTCCATTAACATTACAATTCTTATGATATTCTGATTCGAGTCTTAAAATTTTATCTTCTAAAGCTTTTATAGAACTTTCCAGCTTTTTTTTACATTTCATTATATCACGTTTAACCTTATTATGTTTCATTTTTATCTAATCTAATATTATATTTATGCATATTATATAATATATATATATATATATATATATATATATATAATAATAATAATAATATAATAATAATAATAATAATGTAATGAAATGAAATAAAAAAAAAAAATTATTTTTTTTTTTAAATAAATATATTATATACATATATATATTTTTTTTTTATTTGTGAATAAATTTTAAATAAATATTTTATATTAAATATAGAAAAAATATATAAGCATCTATTTATTATATTATTTTATATATATATAACAATTTATGTATAAATATATATATATAAAATATAATATATATATATTATTTATTTTTATTTTTATTTTTATTTTTAACCTATTGTCTTCGGTATACATTTATATATGCTCTTTTAAATTGTTAATTAATTTAGATATAAACATAGGATTTTATAAAATGAATTTTTTTTTTTTGTAATAAATTAATAATACATTATAAAATATAACATAAATTATGAAAGTAAATATTTTTGTTTTACAAAGATATTCCCTTTTTTAAATTTTATATGTATGATATTTTACGTAATATTTTAATTTATATTGTTTAAACGAAAAGAATTTTTGAAGTAAAAGATTCTATTAATATATAAGAGATTTGTATATAATATATATATTAAAAAAAAAAAAAAAAGCCATTATATATATATATATATATATATATAATACAATTTTACCATTTTTTCATGAGAACATCAAATTTTAAAAGAACTTAATATTTAAATATGCAATTTCTTTTTTTTTTTTTTTTTTTTTTTTTTTTTTTGTTCCTTATAAGTATACCTTATTCAACCATATTATATATGTAATAAATAATGGTGATTATTAAGATCATTTGTATATTTAATAAATTAATATATTTTAGTATATTTGTGATTTGAAACGGCACATCTTAAAAAAATAAATGAATAAATAAATAAATAATAAAATGATAAATAATAAAAATATAATTTTTTAAAGACCTTTTGATATATACATATAATATATAAGAAAGTTATAAAAAAAAAAAATTATAATTTTAATATTTCTTTTTTGCTTTATGTGTCTATAAATGTTGCGAATATTATAAAAGATACATAATAATATAAATATAAAAAAAATAAATATATTAATATATATTTTTTCCCTTTCTATATGGGCAAACCGTACATAACTCCTGCAGAACCTGTACCGTAGGGTAGTCGACAA